TTTCCCTTAGGCCCAAAAAAAATTTCTAGTGGATTTTCCTTTTTTTCCAATGCTGTGTAAAGAGGTCTACCCATTTTTAAAATTTGACCCCATTATCCTTTTATTTTTCCTAACCCAAATTGGCGGGGGTTTTGAGTATGTTTTAAAGCCGTTATAAATAAATACAGTTCCTGTGCACGATTTCTCAAAGATTTTGGATAGAAATGGAAAGTTTAAATTTTTGGCCTATAGCTTTCCCTGGGGGGTTTCCCCACCTTTATGTTTTGGAGAAACCCCTTATTTGTTTTTGAGTAGTGTCAGGAAAAGTGCTAGTTTTTTTAGGACTTGTTAAAAAGTATTTTTAATGAAATTTTGAAAGGACATGGGCCCGCTCGCTTTTTACAAAAGGGGGGGGAAAGTGAGACAGATTCCCCGATTTTTTTTTTTAAGTGACTTTTTTAAACGCGGTGACCCAGGCCAGTTGGAAACAAGATAGGGGGAAATTTTGGGGAAAATTCCCCTAGGAACCCCCCCCGGCATGGGCAGGGGTTTCGGGGGATTTTACTGGCGAGTTTAAAGTTCCTATGTTTGAGAATTTCGTTTTTTCTTGTTAGCTGTGTCAGGGGGTGCAGTGGTTTTTTCATAAATTTATTTAGAACAAAATTTGGGTTTTTTTAGTTTGTGGGGCCCAGAATTGGGAAAATGTTTTCCAGGTCTTTTTTTAAAACTCCCCTTGTGTCATGAATTTTGGGGAAATAAATATAGTTGTTTTTGGGTTTCTTTTTTAATTTTTGGTTTAGAACTGTTTTAAATTTTTTTTAAGGAAATTTTTTTGGTATTAAGCCCTGCAAAAATTTCTTTTCATAAATTGGGGTTTCTTATTTTAATGGAAAATTTTAAAAATGCTGCCGGTTAGCCGGGGGAACCAAAACCCTTTAATTTGGATCTGTTTCAAATTTTTTTGGGCAATGTTTGGGTTTATAATTTTAAGTATTTTTTTTTAAAAAAAATGTCTTTCCCCAAACGTCGTAAACCCTTGGATTGGAGTTTGTAGGGCCCTCAACAAACTCTGGTTCTGTGAAATTTCCCCTTTCGGGGGCCCCGTCATGGGTCTAAATGAAACTTTGTTGTATTCAAAAAGGTGGTTTACTAAAGTTTTTTAAAGGAAAGGGTTTTTTAGTGGCGGGAGTGTGTTTGGATTTTCCCTGATTTTAAAGGGGGGATAGTATTTTTGGTCCCTATTGGGGCAATTTTTGGTTTCCTTGGTTTTAGTGAGCCTGGTTGGTTTTGTTATTGTTGGGAGAGAAGTGGTTGTTCATATTTTTTGGGTGAAATCTTTACAGGGCTGAACAAATGGTTTGGCCAAGTTATATTGAAGTCCCAGCTAAGAGAAGGTGGGCTTGTTCATTTTTTCTGTTTTTTTATAGTGACTTTAGGGTTCCCACTGGGAAATTTGGGTTTTTTGAGGGGGTATCCGGGATATGGCCCCCGATTGTTTTAGGCATCTTGAGGTTTTTTTAAATAAAATTAGCAAAAATGTATTCCCCATATTATCACAAAACTTGTCAAAACAAATGTTTGGGTTTTATTTAAAAGATTGCGGCCCCCCCCAACCTTTGGTTTTGGGGCGGGAGTTGTGGGTTGCTTGGAAAAAAAAAATCCCCGGAAAGGGGGGGGAAATAAATTTTGTCCCGCTTAAGCCAGGTCTCAGTAAAAATAATGCAGGAGAAGGGTGTTTTGGACTCAAGGGGTGCCAGGGGGTCAAAAGTGTTTGCTTTAAAGGGCCTAAGTTTAGGTTTAAAAAACGATAATTTAGCAAAATGTTTAGGATTTGTGCGGCTTTTGATTTCTGTGAATAAAGGCAGTTAATTTCCAAAAAAGTTTTTTATTTTGTGTTAGAGATGGGGGGTTTACCCTCAGGGGCAACCTGTCATTCATCTTTTAGGTTTAAATAGTGGTTTTTTTTATATCCCTTTATTATGTGGTTTAGTTTTTTTAATACGATTTCTGGAGTTGGGAGGGGTTTTGGGTAAAATACCCCAAAGCACTTTGGGCCCTATAAAAGTCAGCCTAATAAACAAATTAAATTTAATTGTCTAATTTTTGTCCTGAAATTTAGCTAAAAAATACAACTAGGTATAAACTAAAACCCATAAAAAAAAAATTTCAAGGGGCAAACCCGACCCCACTCTTGTTTAAATTTCACTAAGGTCTTTAAAATTTGAATTTTTGGTTTTGTTAGGATTAGCTAGAAAAGCTAAAGTACAACTAAAGGGAAGTTAGGTTTAAAGGTTTTTGTCAAAGTTTGGGGCTAGAATGAGCTAAAGTACCCAAATAGGTTTTAAAAATTTTAATATAAAAAAACAAATTTAAAAAAGGGAAATTTTCAAATTGGGACTGGGAAACGAATAGGTTGTTAAAAACAAGACAAAAGTATAAAAAGATTTAAATTTGGGCAAAAAAAAAATTTCACAAATTTAAAATACCCCCCAAAAATAATAAGTAAAAAAAAAAACAATGGCAATGACTTGGTTATAATATGATGTAAAAAGGAAGACAGGTACACAGGCACTGGGCCCAAAAAAAAAAATAAAAGGTTGGAGGTTTAAAATACAAATTGAAAATTTGGCATCTAAAGGGTTTTGAAAAGTAAATTTATTAATGTACAAAATTAAAATTGATTTGGGAGTAAATTTGGTGTTTAAAAAAATTTTGTAAATTTAAAAATGATTTTCAAAAAAAGATTTAAATTCCAAAAAAAAAAGTGAAAAAGTAATGTTTATTTAAAAAAAAACCCCTTTTTTGGATTCAATATTGGAGTGTTTTTTTTTTTTTTTTTTTAGTTTATACTAGAGGTTTTTTGTCCCTTTCAAAAAGGGAAATTTTAAAAGTACTCTAAGAATAAAATTTGGGAATTTAAAAAAGGGTTTTGGTTTAAATTTTGACGGTAAGGGGATTAAATGATGTCCAAAAAAAAGTTAAAGAAATTGTACTGATATAAAAAAGGGAATTAAATTAATTTTAGTAAGAATATTTAATTAATAGTATTTAAAAAAAAATGAGGGAGTTAAATGGACAGAGAAAGTATCAATTCCGCTAATATTTAAGCAAACAATTAAATAAGAAAATTAATAAGGTGATTATGGGTTTCGTTTAAAAACACATTTAAAAGGGAGTTTATTATTTTAATTACAAAAATTGTACTAGAAAAATTTTAACAATAATGGAGCCAAAAAAAACACCACAATAACTAGGCTTTTAGGTTGGCATTGTTTAGCATTCTCGTTTAAATTTGTATCCCCGGGAAAAACTGATAGATAATTCTCGGTTTGTGATTTTGTACAGTTGACCTACATTTTTTTTTCCTAACTGAAATTTTCCCCCTCCTGTGTTTAAGCATTTGGGGAATTTTGTCGTTATTCCCCGCTTAAAAAAAATTTTAAAAAGGAAAATTTTTTTAACCCATTTAAAAAGATGGAAAAGGGAGGGGGAAGGGATGGAAAAGAATAAAAAAAAAAGGTTTAAAAGGGAAAAGAAATGGAAATTTTTTTTTTTTTTTACTCTTAAAAAACAGGGTTCCTTTTTTTTTTTGGAAGAATTTTTTTATGTTTTTTTCTTTAAATTTAGAAAAATTATTAATCTTTTTTCCCTGTTTTTTGTGATTAATCCTTAAAAAAAAAACACCCGAAAATTTGGGATCTAAATTTCCCCCCTTTTTTTTTATTTCTTAAAACCCCTTTTTTTAAATAAATTGGGTTGGGTTCCTTTTTGATGGGAAATTTTTTTACGGGTTGTTTGTTCATATCACTGGGAAAAAGTGGACTGTTAACTATTACTGCGTCCGATAGTTTATCTTGTTCAGTTTTATCTTCTTGGAGAGCAAAGTAGTCACTGAACTGGTTATCTAAGTTGTTCTTCCATTCTTTTACTGCTTCTTCAACCTTTGTATTAAGAGATATTATTTGTTGGGTATGGCTATCTATGACTGTTTGGATGGTCTTGTCACAGTTAGTCATTCCTGGTGTTGATAACTTTTGTTCAAGACTGTGGATTTTGTTCTCGAGTTGTGTCATCCTGGCATCTTGTTTTGTTAGTGTCTCTCGAAGATTCATATTTTTAATAACTAAGGTGGAGATGCATGTTTTTAGGGTATCTGGATCGTTGGTCATACCTGAGAGACTACTTGGTAGGTTGAATCCGGGGAAGAGAAGGGTGGTTGGGCTGGGGGCAGCCATGTTTGTTGTTATTGTTGTGGTGTCGCCTTGAGGGGTGGTGAGAGGGGTGGTAGCTGGGCTGGCGTCGTCCTGGGTACACTTGTTGAATAGTTGATTTTTCGGGTGATTTTTTGTTTTTTTCGGTGTCTGTCTATTTGTCTGTCTGTCAAGCTCCCTGTCTATCTGTCTATCCGTCTAGCTCTCTGTCTCAGAGACAGCCACAAGACTGCGTCATCACCTTTACTCACATCTTCAAGCAGAGTATAGCACTTTGTCTGGATTTTTTGGGTTATCCTAGGTAATTTACACTATGTATACTTGTATTTATGTGTACCTGTGAGACAGAGATAGACAGACAGATAGAGAGAGACAGATTGAAAGAGATACAGAGACAAATAGACAGACACAGATAGACAGAGACAGAGGTAGAACAGAGACAGAGGTAGAGATAGACAGATATAGACAGAAAGAGATAGACAGAGGAAGACAGAAATAGATAGACCCTAAACTTGGGGTTAACATCACTTTCCTCTTAAAAGAGGTGTTATATGACATTACATCAGTGAAATCCTTGGTGTTTGCTGCACTGTTTGCTCTAGCTGGCACACAATTTAACTGGTGCTCCCACAAGGTACTAAGTGGTCCCAGATTTTTTTAATATCAGCACACTGAGTGTTAGGACCCATTCTATGCTGACAAGGCATCTCAGGCCAATCATGCCAAATTTGAAAGCAGGAAAAATAAAACGTATATATACGTTTGGGGCGCTACGCGTAAGAACTTACATATACGTTTGGCCCGTTTAAGGGTTAAAAAGGAAGAACCACAGCAGTGTACCCTTTATCCTGACTCAGCATTTAGTGAGCCGTTAATTAGAATAAGAGTCAACAATCTAAATGAATTTATGATTGAGACTCAAAACTTGCTTAATTCAAGAATTTCTGGTATTATGCTAACACTACAGGACTTTGAAAAAGCAATAAATGACATGTCCATGCACTCTGCCCAAGATAATTGCCCAAAACTCTTGGAACTCCATGGTCATCAAAAACTGCAAGAAACCCCTGTCACACGCCTTGTATATTCTATGGAGAGGAAGCATGGACACAGGGGTCATCCCATAGTCACTAAAAATAACGGACATAGTCGCACTCCACAAAGGTGGCAGTTAAGCAGTTACAAAGAATTACAACTAAGTGCTGCCCTGGGAGACAGTAATGGGGAAGTGGGATTGCGTCCGGGAGACAGAAAGGGTGAAGAGAGATTTTGTCCGGTAGTCGGGAATTAACGCAGGGGGAAATAATATAAATGACCTCATGGGGGGACGGAGCCATAGTGGAAAAAGGTAGTAAAAGATAAGAAAAAAACCCAATATTGCAAACTAGAAATCCCGCGGAAAAAATAGCAAACAAGGGGACTCCACACAATATGGGGTATATTACCAAAAAAAATTGGGGGGGAGCCCCATTGTTGGTGCTAGGGGGGATGAAGTAAAAAGGGAAACTGCACCAACAGGAATACAGTCACAGAAACCCCAAGGGCAATGGAAACCAAGCCTGTGCAATTTATGCACTCGGTATCTCGGGAGGGGAAATTTGGAAAACAGATGGGAGTGCAACTAGACCCCCTGGGAAATGCCATCCCATATGACAACGGAAAATGCAAACCCCCTTCCCTGTAAGCTTTTCCCCCGAACTGGTACCTCTCGTCGGGAAAGACGTTTTATAATTAAATTGCCAGGCAACCATCTAAAGGGAAAAAAATTTACAAAACACCGGGCCCAGGGAAAACCTGGGTACCCACCCCACTCAGGGGAGAGGTTTTTTTAGGCAAGGGAAAGGAAAAAAAATGGAGGAAAAGGCAAAATCGTTACCCCAAAACCGTCATTCCTGGGGTGGAACCACAGTCATGGCCCCATCCAAACCCAAAAATTTCAGTATAAAGCCCGGAAAAAAAATCCCCCCCATACCAACAATACCCCAGTCCGAAACATTCTTCTTTGAAATATTCAGGGTCTAAAGCCACAACAAACAACAAAATACCTTCATCCTGGACTGTTGCAGAGGCAAAGGCAATTTCGCGGCTTTTTGAGACCCCCAAAAGGGTCACTTGGAAAAGAAAAATGGATCCCCGGTTAAACCTATACAGATTGACAGAGTGGGAAAAGGGCAAAAGGGGGGGGTTGGCCTGTACTTGCAGGTCACTTTTTTGCCGAAAGATAAATGCCCCAAAATGATGGGAAATTTTAGCAGTAAGGTCGAGAACCCAAAAAATAGTCATTGTGTAGTCTACAAGCCTCCCGATGCAAAATCCCCAATTCCAGGGAAAAGCTGTTTTAAAAAATTTACCCCTGCTGGAAAAACCCTTTCCCGCTCTCACCCCCATCTGGGGTCGGGGGGTTTTAACTTAAGGCACCTAAAATGGGGGAATAAGAAATAATATTGTTCATAATAACACAGGAGGAGCTTATGAAAACTCACCTCCGCGACTTTTTTAAACTCTGCACAAAATTTAATTTAAACCAGAAAAATAGAGCCTACTAGACTGGAGAATACACTGACCTCATTTCATAACAAGGGTGATCTGATAAAAATATCACCCTATCAAAAACAATATATAGATCAAACTAAATTTAGGTTCATCAGTTGCGGGAAAACCCCAGACCGACATAATGAATTATCACGAGGGGGCATTCCCAAAATTTAACTTCAAAAAAAAAACATTTAAAGTGGACCAAGTAAACCAAATCCTAACCGAAAAGCGGGGTATATAAGCAACACAGGGCCCCAAATTATGCCTAGAAAAATTAACCCTGGCACTGATGTATGCCAAGGTTTTCCTTAAAAAAAAGGGGAGGAGTAGATTTTAAAACAAAAAAGAGACAGGCGCCCCCTTTTTAAAAGGCGAGGGGAAAAAAAAATAACAGAGGGGCCCAAAAAGGGGTCAATATATCTGAAATGGTAGGGAGCCCATGGTCAGAGAAAATTCCCAAGCATCAAAAACTTAAGCTAAAAAAATTTTTGGAGTCGGAATCGGGGGGAAGGGAATAAAACCCATAAAGGGAAACGAAAAAACCCAAAAAGAATTTTTTCCCCTATCCCCCCAAATAAAACCCGAGAAAAAGCCCAGTATTGGGCCCCTACTTAAACGATGGGCCCTACCCCAGATGACAGAAAGGAAAAAATGAGTGGTACTAAAGTCCCAATATAAATCAGTTTTTAGCAACCCGCTAACCAAAATGAGAGTGGGAAGATCAACAATAAATTTTTTAGGGGGGAGACCCCCAAAATTTGTTTAACCAACCTTTTGATGTTATCCTGACCCCAAATGACTTCAAAACAGGCGAAAAATTTACTCCCCATGCACTCTGCCCCGGGGCCCAGACTCAGGGGAACTCTGTGTTCATAAAGGAAATCCCAAAAAACCCTTTTTTAATCACGACCCTTTTTTCCATCCTAGGGAAAAGGGACCCTGGACAGGGGGGTCCCCCCATTTAAACTAAAAAAACCGGGAAATAGCCCCCCCCCCCACAAAGGGGGCAGAAAAGAAAAAAGCAAAAAAACAAAGGGCCCAATAGCACTAAAAACCCCATATAAATTAAAAATCTTTGAAAGGGTCCTAAGAAGCAAGATCACCACGCATCTAAAACCACAGTTACACAACCCAGGGAAAACATGGGTTTAAACAGGTCGCTCCTGTCTGTCTCAACTTTTGGGCCCCATAGGGACAAGGTCCAAAATTGCACTAGAAGAAAAAAAGAATGCAGATTTTAATATATCAGATTTGAAAACCCTTCGACAAGGGGGACCATGGGAAATTAGCGCAAAAAATGGGTGCAAAAGGAAAATAACAAAAAAAGTCGGTCGGGGAAACTAAAAATTTCCCTTTACTAAAAAAGAACAGAGGTAGTCGTCAACGAGAGTAAAGCCCGAGGCAGCTACGGTAAAAAAGCTTTGTTCCAAAAGGCACAGTACCGCCCCCATCTTGTTCCTCACCCCTTATTCCGACTAGACAAGGAGGGTCACCCAACAGCCCCCGTTTTTTCCCTTTTGGGGGATGAACCCAAAACCTGCATGACGGCCCTTCCATTGCAGACACTGCAAAGCCCCGGGCGGGACTTTCAACCAAATTTTTTCAGTGGGCTGCAAAAAAAACCCCCTATGAAGTTAAAACAATGGAAATTTCAATTACCAGATATGGTAAACATGGGGAAAAATTTAAATTTTCCCACCCGAGTACCAAAAAAATTTTTGGCCAAAAAATAGATAAAACCCCCCCAACGTCAAAGACCTGGGGGGGTATGCCCGGAGGATCTCCCCTTAAAGGCCCAAAAACATTTTTAACCCAATCGCATTGCTAGAAAAATGACGGATGGTTTAATGAGAACCTTAAAAAACGGGGGGGCCAAGCCCATGATGACATCTTCAGGTCACTTGTTCAAATTAGGCTGGAATTTTTCCCTGCCCCAACTACCGGGGCCCTTTAAGGCGGTGAAACTCCCGGGCCGCCCTTTGAAAATGTAAAAGAGAATTTTCCGGGGCCCCAAAACGGGAAAAAAAACACCTAAATTTTTTGGGGAAACGCTTGAGGTTCCAAAACCCTTTTTTCCCCGGGAACGCAGGGGGGAGAGATACATGTTATTTACACCTGGAAAATCCTGAGGGACTAGAAACCGAATTTGGGCACACAAAAAATCACTCATACGAAAGAAAAAAAACTTGGCAGACAAAGCACCTTCCCCCCAATAAAAAGCGGGGGGTGTCATTTGGCACTTTAAAGGGGCCCCATACAATAATTGTCGGGGGCCTGAGGTTTAAAACTGCCTCCCAGCACACAAAGGGGGATTCCCAAACAGCCCCCTGGCGTCTTCAAGGGGCCCACTGGACAAGCCCCTTTAAAGCAGTTGGGAATCCCCGGGGGCTGTGGCTGTACTTTGGTTTGTGTGCAGCCGCAGAAACCCGCCTGGTTGATCGGGGCCTCTGATCCACCAGGGGGCCCGGGTCTCAGGGGGGGCCCCGGGGGGGCGTTGCCCCCCGGAACTCTTTTCCAGGTAAAACTCCAGGTATGGGCATAATGTCCCCATCTTTAAAAATCTTAAAAAAGGGTTAAAAAAAGAAAGATCACCCCCTATTAGATCCCCATCAGTTGCAAAAATCTAGGGTTTCAGGGGCCCCAAAAAAATTTGAATTTTAAATTTAAAGAAAATTTCAATTACTCTGCTATGGAAAACTCGGGGAAAAAAAACTTTTCAGAAAAATTAAAACAAATTCCAACCAAAAAAATAGGGGCATAAAATAATGTGAAGGACCTGGGGGGGTGATTTAAAATCAGAGAAAACTCACTTTTTAAAAATAACAATTTAAAATTTTTCTACCACATGAGCTAGGAAAATAAAAAAATGGGTAATGAAAAACCCTTTAAACTAGAGATGCCGAAAATTTTTTTATGATGACTTCTTCAAATTTTCTGGGTTTTTTGCTTGTCTACATTAAAGGCCCCCTTTTAAGGCAGGCAAAAATTGTGCCTTTTAGAATATATAGACGTATAAGAAAGTTTAAAACACCTAAATTACTGTGGAAAAAGGTTTAAGTTCCTTGATTAAATTTAAATAAGTAAAGGGAAATTTACTAAAGGGATACCAAATTCAGTTACATAGGAAAATTTTCATACTAGCCGCATATGTGTAGAGAACCCCCGGAAAAACCCAAAAAAGTCTGGGCAGAGTGACTTATTTCCCTTGGGGGGCCCCGGAAAAGCAGGCCCAGAAAGGGTAATGATAATAACAATTGGAAAATCCTAGGGGATTAATCCCCCCAAAAATACAACAAAAAATCACTCCCTACTAAAGCAAAAGGGGGTCCCCAGGAGAAAGCCCCTCCCCCCCAAAGACAAGCATGGCACCAGGGTACACTTTGAGAAACCCACAATAAGTGTCAGGGGGGCCCCCAAGTTTTTCAACTGCTTCCCGGGATATAAAAAAGGGGGAAAATTTCCCCAAAAAGGGCCCTTGCTGACTTCAAGAAGGGAAATGGAAGGGACCTTTAAGTCAGTATCCCGACCCGCCGGGTTTGGGTTTGAAAAATTTATTTAATTTCGGCCACCCGTAAAAAGCTGGTTGATCAGGCCCTTATCCACTGTGAAAATCGGTCATGGACTGGGGCCCTGGGGGGGGGTTGACCCTTTTAAACCCCCTCCAGGTTACTTGGGTAAATACTTTTTAAAGAATAAAACATGAACAGTGAAAAGTCATAATTTGCAAAGAGTTTTCATTCATGAAAACTGTATTCT